TCTCTCTCTCTCTCTCTCCCTCTCTCTCTCTCTCTCTCTCTCTTTCTTTCTTTCTTTCTTTCTTTCTTTCTTCTTTCTTTCTTTCTCTATTCTTCCCTCAGACATGGTGTTACAAATGCTCCTTTCAATAATTTGATAGGTTCAAGCTCTGAGCCAGAGAGAGCATCTGTTAGAAAACATGGCAATATTTTTTCTGTTTATGGCTCTTATAGTCCAAACCACCACAACATCACTTCTGAACACCCATCCCTTGAAAACACAGAAATCACAATGATAAGATTTTGGAAGAAAGGCACCATGAAAATCACCCAACCCAACACCTCCCAGGAATGGGAAATAACTCCCTTAGCTCACTAAATCCAGAGACTTCTTCATAAATAGTTCTATGCGAGTTACCCCTCAACATGGCTCCACCAAAGTGGGAAACTAAAACACCCAGCCAGAAATGAAATTAAGGAACACATATGAGATAAGCCACTGCATTTAGAGCACATTTAATGGCCAGAGAAATTATTGACTCAACTCAAATCTCTAAGTCTTCCACTTCAGAAAGATTAAAAGCTTGACGACAAATGTGATGTTCCAGAAATTAGACTCACATATAAGGTAAGGACAGAAAATGAAATAGAAGACCATGCATGTTACTCAGCTGCCAGTGGCCAATAACTTGGGGTGTGGGAGAGAATCAAAAAAAATTTTTGGCTTTTTTGCTTTTTCATTGCTTGAAGGAATCTCCATGTTCATGAAGTTAGTTTTCTCATCAACTATAGTTTAAGAATTTAAGATGGCTAAGCTAGAAAGAGGCACAAATGAAATAGATCTACCTATTATCTAAGACTACTGGATCACAGATATGTTTATGAATATTTAGCAACTTCTCGGAAATAGTGCGCAGTTACCCCTCAACATGGGTACTGTTGCCAATACTGTCATCATTTGGACATGAGGGTGGCAATTCTGAGTGTGGTTACTACGTGCTCTGGTGGCTTTACGGGAAAGAGAGTTCTGTCCACTCCTCTGCACAGGGAGTCAGAGGAGCTACCTGAATGTAGGAAACAAAAGTGACTTCATGACGTATCTTAGGTAAACAGAAAAAAAGACCTTGAAATAAGTGGCCCACAGATTATGGTCCCAAGTCAAAGGCCAAGAAGAAAAGTGAGTGAACGTTGAGTTTGGATGATGTCATTTTTTTTTTTTTTAATATAGAAAGAAAGACCCAAAGGGATCTAGAGAGGGATTCAGGATACAAGGTATAGTGCTGTACTAAATGACTGCCTGCTTTCACTCTCTCCTACTCTATCACCCTGGCCCAAAATATATTCTACACTCAGCAACCAAAGTAATCTCTTAAAAGTGTATATTATTTAACATTGCTCCTTAGCTGAGAATTCTCCAGTGACTTCCAACTAAAAACACAATGGAACTTATTTTATAATACTTAGAATATAGTCATTAATTTCACCCCCCAGATATTGTCCTTCCTCATTTCCTGTCACTCTTTCCTTTATTCATTATGCTTCCATTACAATGACTTTCCTTCCAATCCAGGAACACACCAAAGTGGTCCCTTTCTTGGGCTGTTGTCCTTGACATTCACTTTGGTAGCTGACCATCTCTTAAAATTCACACATATAGCTTCATCTTTTTCATCAATAAGTTATCAGCTCAAATGTTATCTCTTTAGAGAGGGCTCTCTGAAGGTTATACGCCACCCAGTCATTCTCTGTTACATAAATCTCTTAGTTTTCTTGATCATAGCTATCATATTTAATTTTTATGTTTTCATTTTGTCTGTCTTATTTGTGTGCACCGCAGCTCTAAAATGAAAGTCTTATAGTAGGAGAAACATGGATTGCCTCTTACTATTACCCAACTCATAAGAAAGAGCCTCTCACACCGTAGATACACAATCATTTTTTGAATTAATCCAAATATCTTTTGCTCAAGTTGTGTTCAGGGAAAACTACTAAAATCTAGATCAGCATAAAATGAAGTTGGGAAATTAATGAAACAGCAAACCAAGGAAATAGAACATTTCATTAGGGAAAAGTAATTGTCTTTCTTGTTTCAGCTTGGTTACATGTGAGATTTTCTGTTTCATGTTTCCCCTGTTTGAAAATCAAAAAATTAAATAGATGTAAGATAAAACAAATTGACAGCTTTTTTAAAAACTGCCTTTGCAGTGAGTGACAAGCTAAAAAAAAAACAAAAGGATATTCTTATACCAAGCATAATTTTAATTCAAATGGTGTAACTCGCATTTGTAAAGCGTTTCTACTCTGCATTTTTCTAATGAATTTCCAGCCTCACCAGAAATGCCACTTACTCATTTAAGCAAATGGTAAGTGGTGATAGGGTTGGGAGCAGAGAACTTGTCATTGGAGTATTAGTGAGACCACAGCTGGAATCTCCTTTAATTTCACCCAAAGTGAAAGCTCTTTGTCTTGGCCAAGACACAGCCCTTGAATCTTGGCTAGCTGTGTACAAAAGTCATCTCCTCACAGAGCAGGGATCATGCCAAGGAAGGCAGACGAGTCTTCAGCGATTTATCATACTGACACAGACAATTTATTGTCCTGATAAATTGGTATCATGTTCTTAGACAAAAGTCAGAATTTGTGTTGTGTTATTGTAAAGACAAATAGATATTACTTTACACAGTAGACATAGAGTCTTAAAAGAGTACACACTTTTGTAAGTAATGCTGTCTTTAAAAGTGTTAAAGGAAACATTGACCAGAAACTTTCCGGAAATTCTTTTCCAAAAGGAATAGATACTTTGTAAAATGAATAGAGTTCCTTAAAATACTCCCAGACGGGATCAATTTTGCTCAGAAATTAGGTGAGGTGATACTAGAATTAGAGCCTGCCACTGGATAAACATAAGAACAGATAACACTAAAAGATGATCTTTTAAGTTAATCTAGGTTTTACTACTGACATACACAAATATATGAATGCTATTTATGCAATGGATGCCCATGTGCTCCAAAACTCTATAATTTATTTGGACTTAGCAACCTTAGACCATGGGTTGTTATGGAACCTGGTCTGGATCACTCAGCAGAAGAGCCAAGCAGCACTCGGAGATCTTGGAAGGCAGGAGGATTATTTTACACCGGTGGTCTCAGAGGAAATCACTCTCCAAAGGTCTGAGCCTCGAGCATAAGCAGAGGGAACAATTTATAGCCTGTTACTTCTGCATTCCTCATTAGTAATAATTTGTCACTGGGGCGCCTGGGTGGCTCAGTCGCTTAAGCATCCGACTTCTGCTCAGGTCATGATCTCATGGTTCGTGGGTTTGAGCCCCACGTCGGGCTCTGTGCTGACAGCCAGCCCAGAGCCTGGAGCCTGTTTCAGAGTCTGTGTCTCCCTCTCTCTCTGGCCCTCCCCTGCTCACGCTGTCTCTCACTTTCTCTCACAAATAAATGAAAAACATCTAAAGAATTAAAAAAAATAATAATAATTTGTCACACAACAAGCAGGGTGAGAAGAAGAACCCAAAAAGGGAGTCTTCAGTCAGGGACTGGAATTCCCCTATCAGTTCTGTCAGCTGTCTTTTTTTTTTTTTAATGTTTTATTTATTTCTGAGAGAGAGAGAGAGAGAGCGCGCGAGCAGGGGAGGGTCAGAGAGAGAGGGAGATACAGAATCTGAAAGAGGCTCCAGGCTCTGAGCTAACGGTCAGCACAGAGCCTGACGCGGGGCTCGAACCCATGAACCATGAGATCATGACCTGAGCTGAAGTCGGACGCTTAACCGACTGAGCCACCCAGGTGCCCCCTGTCAGCCATCTTATAACATTTTTTTCTCTATCATTGCCCCCCTTTGATGCCCCTTTAAACAGATCTAGTCTGTATTAGAAGGCATCTTTATTTATTATGGACTAGTTGTTTACTTTTAGTTCCCTGACTTTGGTTGTGACTATTCCTGACTGGTTTACAAAGTAACAGCATTCTTCTCCGAGGAAGATGTAGGTGCCCCCTTTCTCAACAGTGAGAAGGTCAAGTTCCTCTCTGTTCTGAAGGGCAATTCCTGCCAGAGAACTTATTTAGCTCTGCAGGGACTCTAGGGAGTCAGCCACTGGTTAGTCCCACAGAAGAGCCTATGCCTCCTATACCAGACCCCTATCCCCATGGCTATTCCTGTCCCTAGGGCAGGTCGTAACACCACTGGTTTAGCCTGGGCCTTAAGGCTGAAGGTTAATCTAAGCACCAACTTTTATTCTAATAATCATTTAATCTCTCTCTTTTTTTTTAATTTTTAATATTTTTTTATTTATTTCTAGGAGAGAGAGAGAGAGAGACAGCGTGAGCAGGGGAGGGTCAGAGAGAGAGGGAGACACAGACTCTGAAACAGGCTTCAGGTTCTGAGCTGGCAGTCAGCACAGAGCCCGATGCGGGGCTCGAACCCACGAACCGCGAGATCATGACCTAAGTGAAAGTCGGACGCTTAACCGA